TGTGTTATAAGAATACAATCAGCACTTACAGTATTTTTATTACAAATGGCTCTTTCCAATCAATAAATCGCCTCAAGACACTAAGAAGAAGTAATTATATATGTCTAAAAATCCAAACATTAGACTTTTTTTTTAATTTCACAATTTTGGTCTTTCCACACTTCATCTCTCCGATTTCATTTTATTGAAGCGATTTAGCCGTGACTCTCTCTAGGGGCAGGGGTCTTATTTCAGATTTTATCGCCAATTTTTGGTTACTACTTTCTTTCCCCTCACCCCCTCTTTATAGACAAAAAAGGGAGGCTGATAGTGATGTCACTTTTTCTAGATGAAGGATTGAGATATTCCATGGTGGATAATTGTTGGTGATCAGAGCTTCTCTAGATCATTCTGTCCCGTGATACGGCCCCTCAAAGTAAATAAAAACCCCATAAGGTAACATAACACCCATTCTAGACCTACACCGCCCCTGAATCCAGTGACGTCCCACCTTTGTTTCTGGGGTCTGTAGGCCTTGCCTGGTACTCCCCCCTAGTTGCATATATTGTGTGGCCTGGCCCAAGCCTCTTCATTGGTGTGGCAACCAAAATTTTCAGGAGATGCCCTCTGCAGTGGCCAGGTGCTGACCGGTGGCTCTGTCTATCCAGTCCAGCCTACTGGGAGCCCCTATTAGCACCCTCGGGAGTTCGAGACTGAAGGTTTATGAGGCTAAAATCCATAGCAATTTGTATATCCAACCTTATTCCCTATGGGATTATTGCCCCTCCGATTAGAAATCCCTACACAGTTACCATTGACCACAGTTTTCTGCAGAGTTTGATGCGGTGATGTTTCATGGAGAGAATACACTAATCCTTTCCTACTTTGGATATAAGATGCATTTTAATTTGAACAGAAAATTGGTAACTTTGGAGAACTCTCACGAGGCATATACAAGATCCAATAAGGAACCAATTATGCTTTGATTGATTGAGTTACATTGTGTTATAACTCTTGGGCCTCACCTCTCTCTACCTATAATTGCTTCATGTAACTTAATTTCTTTTCCTCATTTTTTTCCCCTTTATTCTACATAAGTTTCACCTTTGAGAATGACTACTGGCAGTTGTTTCCCTTGTTTCTCATTATTATTTCTAAAATGACAGCTGTAATGCCCCAATTTGGAAGTCTTCTATTTCTAAAAAATAAAAAAAAAGAATGTAAACAAAAAAATATATATTTTGTAGAATTCCTACAATTTTTGCAACTAACAGGCTCAATTGCTGTTTATGCTAAAACCTTCCTACTAAATACGCTGGACGAAACTAAAATAACAAACGGATCACCCTTTCATCCAGCTGTGGTCTAATGCTGTTTAATGCCCAATTGATAGATACCCACCAAGCATAGCTCTCTTTGAACAAATGCATACACTTACCAACTGCATATAATCTGCAGGCTGACATCTAATTCCCAATAGTCTATCCCTTGGGCCTGACTCCTCTATAACAACAGATGTTTAATTATCCTGATTATGGCCACTGTGGCTTCTTGAGATATGTTTTCACACTGCTTCCCCACATATTTTCCTGTGGTAGCCCCGAGTTGGTGCCTGCACCAGGACTGTTTTATATTCCATCCATTTATATCCAGTGGACAATAGACAGATGGACAACCTACCTGTATTCCAACATCATGGCCTTTTGGCCTCCTGACCTGTTTTGTCATACCATTTCCCTCTTTACTAACCTTGCTTCCCCCACTTCGCACTCCTATTCATCTCTTCATCTTATTCCCTGTCCCAGGAGTGATGAATGCGACACCAACACTCATCTTTGCATCTTTCCTTTATCATGGCTCCAATATATATACTTACCCTGAATAAAAAAGTTAAAGGCCTTCCCACTCCTTTGTGCCCATGCCAAAGCAACATGTTGTGTTCCTGCATGAGACTCAGTTTACTTCCAGCCATATGCCGAAATATCTCAGCTCTTCCTACCCACAGGTTTATATGGCTTCTGCCGCCAACTAAACGCACAGAGATGTACTCAAAGCTTTCCACTGCTCTACTCCCTTTACACCCCAGGCAGGGATCTGGGACCCCAGAGGGCCGTTATATTTTCCTGTTGGGTCACACTGCTCAACGTCGGGAGGTCACTATAGCTTCATTACTATGGCCCAATCCCAATCCTAACTTCCCCAATTTTTGCTACAAGTTATAGTTTCCCTATTGTGGCAAATTCCATCCAGCCAGCTAGTTTATCCTTTTTAGGACAAATCCCCCATAACCTCTTATCCATCCACATCCTCCTTCCAGCAACAAACTTCCAACACAACGCTCTCTCTCATTAGGACACATGGCTAGATGGATAAACCCAGCCTAGAAGAACACTATTAACATACTACTCAAAAATTCCACATAAATTCTTTTCTCCCACATTTGAGCAATATTTCTGACTAGAGGTATGACCCCCAGCCCTCCTATCCTGATCCATCATACCTCTGACCCCTGGGACTGTTCCAAAAGCTGTCCTCGTTGTACTACTCTCCACCTTAGTTCCCCAACAAAACTTAGCACTACATGGAGTCTAAATGGCCCAAACCCATCCCATCAGACTGGACATTGAACTAGTCATCAAGAGAATACCTGACACATAACACAACTGATGACCATCCTCTCTCCTGAACTTTTGGAAAGCCCCATAAGTCTGTATTTAGAGGAGCCAGTATCAGCCAAGCCTAACATCTCAATGAAATGGACTGACAAACAATCCATCACCGCTTCCTTTAGAAACCTCATTTCATCAGGCCAAACAAAGGCCTATCCTATCATACCCCTCAACTTCTCATAGATTGTCTGGACAAGACCAGGCTAGAAATAGATATTTTCTTGACAGAATCAGATGAAAAAGTTCGCACGTCACTCCAGGGATGAACATTATTTTGAACGCAAACAAAACCTGACACTTTTCTCTAGCCCTGGCACTGAGTTACCCTCAGACCTCACACACCACATACTTGTACATTTAAAAGATTTTCAATAAATCACACACCAGCCATCCTAATAAAATAATTACAGGTCTTCCACAAACATCTAGCAGAATTATACTCTGAGACCGGCTCCTAGGATGAATCCGCAGGGCACTGGGACTTTTCTCAAGCCTATCTCTACCAACAGCTCCAGCTTCTCCAATGTTCGTCCCTGGAAAACGACCTATTACAGAACTTGAGGTCCCAAAACTCCATCAAGTCCCTAAAGTCTAATAAGGCGGCCCTGGCCCCCAGACTGGCTTACAGCCCTAGTAGTTCCCAAATATTTTACTATCCTCCTTCCACCTTTATTGGTTAATGCATTTTAATGGCCATACTCAAAAGTTATTCTCATTCTCTGCTCAGACTCCCTACACAGCAGTCATTTTCTTATTGCTACCCTGAACCCCAATCAGATCAAACCCAACCCACCACATGGCTTCAATTACCACTACCAAATCTCCCGTATTAAACTTGGATGTTAAAATCCTATAAAAATCCTATCTGCATTGGCCTCTGAACTCATCATAGGCACCTTGATACACAATGATCAGATGGGTTTTAACCCCCTCTGCCAAGCCGAGACCACACAGTGATGTTGCTTAGAACCTCTGCAGCAATGCATACGTCCGCATAACACGGCTGTTTTCCTTTCCTTAGACATATAAAAAAAAGCCTTTGGACTCAATGGATATAACCCTTCTTTTACACCTCCCCAAGGGCTTACCTTGAGGTTACGTTGTGTATTACAAGTCCGACCTTTTTTTCTCCATACATAAGGGGAATGAGGCAAGGCTGCCCCTCCCCCCCCCACCTGATTCCTAGCAAATGGGGGGGGAAAAAATAAAAAAACCCCCCCTTTAGCACAGATGATAAGAAGCTAACTAACACAAATATTAAAGGAATTAGAACTTGGCGGTCCATCATTTTGATATTGAGCGAATGTCGGAACATGACGAAGTGGAATTCTTTCCGAAGATTTGGAAAAATTCTATTTGCGACGAATCCGAAGATTAGCAAACTTCGGATGCACGAATCAAATTTTCCCAAAAATGGCAGCGACATGTGTGGCGACGGAGAAAATGGACAGAGAAGATGGGGCGGGGATCTCTGGGAAAGGCGCGCAGACAAGGCGCGCTGACCCATAATGCATTCATGACATGTGATCGCATTAGCCAATCAGCAGCCAGCCAGCACTGTGTAATGGTGGAGCTATAAATCGCAGGCCATCTTAGAATTTCTCCATTAGCCTCCGGTCATTCAAGAGAGACAGACCTGTGTGTGTATTCCTGATATCATAGGCCCCCAGTAGACCGGCTCCTCATGAACGTGGTTCAGCGGGTTTGCATCACTTAACAGGGACAAATCGTTGACAAATGCAGGGACTTCAGTGTTCAGTGTTGTGCGCATTAAGCCAGACACCACCAAGGGCAGCACAGACCTGTTATTACTCGCTCAAGCAAAAGGCTGAACAAAACCAGTCTCTACCACAAATTGGACCCAGACCTGCCCAGGGGTCTCGTAACTAATTATGACGGAGGGGGGAGTAGAGTCCGTTATCGGAATTAAATAGACAAAACGCCACACCAAAAAGAGTGGCCATTTCCAACACTTATTCCAGAAAGAGGAACAACCCGATTTCATATACTGCCCGTAGACGTTTCACGTCTGCCACATTTAGTCCGATTTAAGACGCAAGCTCCACTTCCTGTGGTCTCTGACCGTCGATATACCTTTAAGTGTCAGCTTTGAAGCTATATTCCCTCCGGAGCACTGACACTGGTGCCCTTTCCGTCAACATGCCTTTAAGTTTCAGTTTTCAACCATATTCCCCACAGAAGCCAAAAATCCTCTTGGGTATCCCAGAAAGCTGCTCAGCGGGTCAGGGCAATACAGCTCTCCGTTTCGCAGGTTTTCCTCTTATGGATGGAAGTACAACGTATAGGGAACTCTACGCACCCACGCGGCAATTAACCTCATACAATTTCTGCATGCCTCTGTCTGCAATCACAACGCTGACTTCCCGGATCGCACTCAAGACCATGGACTCTTGATAGGCATCTTCTCCCACGCTGCTGCTGGGGGGACTTTTTAACATAGGCCTCTGTAGGGGCCTTTAATTGAAGCTGCTTACGCTCCGCCACTCCTGCCATGGGGCCTCTTGTGTATCCCAGAAGCTGCTCACGGTCAGGCAATAAAGCTCCCGGTTCGCAGGTTGTTCCTTCTTATGGATGGAAGAACACGGTAAAATGATCTTCTCTATCATCGCACCCACCGGCATGTACTTCGTAGAATTTTCTGCATTGCATCTGCGAAATCACAACTGAGGGACACACAACGCTGACTATCCGGATCGCCATCAGTTTTTGGGAAATTTGATAGTCGTCTCCCCCACACGGGCTGCTGGGGGGATTTTTTAACCCTTAGGCCTGTGAAAGGGGCCTTAAATTTAAAAGCTGTTTCCCGCTCCGCCACTTCCCATTTGGACTTTAATTTCCGTCCCCCCACGCTGCTCGGGGGGGACTTTTAAACCTGGGCCTGTGAATGGCCTTAAATTTTAAAGGGCTCTTACGCTTCGCCCACTTCCCAGGGGCCCCCTTTTTTACCCCCTCTCTTGCTGCCCCAAAGGTCCAGGTGTGTCATGGGCCCCCTCAAAACGGCCTCCCTTTTGCTGCTGACTTCATCGCCAAACTCTAAAAAGTCCCAACTTTCAGGTCCCCTTACACTTTTGGGTGGTTTCCATTTTTTTGATAGGGTGCTATATGGCCTTCCATTGCTTTTTGCCTCCACCGCCACAACGTGGTTTCCACCTTGGTTTTTGGGCCCCGGTGACTCCCCAAATGAGTGGTGGGCGGGGGGATTCTGGACCCAAACCGGAAACCTCATCTAAATTTTTTTAACGGGACTGACAGTTTTTTTTTCTCTTCCCCACACAACCCCCAAGGGGGAATTTAAATTAAAGGTACAGTTTTTCTGCATAAATAAAAGGGCCCTCTCGAAGTTTAAAAAAACCCCCTTTTTTATAATTTTAAATTGAAAGCGAATTTTTTCCCGGCTCAAACCCGGAATTTATTCGGGGGGAATTTCCCCGGCGAATAAAGCCAAACCCAAAATTTTTGAAAAATTCGCTCACCCTCAAGTCAAAACATAAGTTATGATTTTTTTCCCACTAAATTGGCAATCTCTTTTAAGCCCTTTCTTTTTTGATCTCAAGTACCCAACCTTCCCCCAATGCCTGGACCCAATTTGCATTTGATTTTGGCCCCGGGTTGGGGAATCCCAAAAAGTCTACAGTTTCTTTTTTATTTTTCCTACCCCCTTTAAACTGTGTCACAACTACAACGTCCTCCACCCCTTCCTTTGGTCCGTCAATTTTTTCCTTATTTAGGACCCAAGTGTGGCAGACCCAGAACTCTATATTCTGTTTAACTACCCCCCCTATTTTAAAAACACACCTTACTAATTTTTATAAACTTTCCTGGTCCCAAACTACCCCTCTTGGATGGGTTGTATCACGGTTGTAAAAAAAGACAAAATTTTGCCCAAAATACTATTAACCCTTTTTTTGGGGCCTACCCATATAAATTTTTCAAGGAAAAAATATGTGAACCCCCTTTGGGATTACGTGGGGTTTTTTCAAATTTTGGGGATAAAATTTTTCCCGAAAAAGTCAATTTAAACCACAAAATGAAGGGAAAACGTCGCTGAACATAATACTTTCACAAACATTAAAATGTTGCCATGGTTTTAATTTTCACATAACATGTAAACATTACAGGGGCAGGGGGGGGAAAAAATTTTGGGGAGGCCCTAGCTTAATGACTTCTCCCCCGAGCTTTTTTGGATCCCGGGTGAGCCCACACCAATGTTTGATGATCACTGGTGGTGTGACTTGGATCGTATTTAGTGTGGCTGGGGACGCAACGGTGCCTCTATGTTAGTCTCGCGATATACACTATGGACAGGACCACTCAACCGATTGCACCTCGACATAGTGTGTCATTGGAGTGATCACTACGGTGTTATATCTACATTTCATAGTCAAGCGAGGCTGCGAGGAGTCATTGTTGCATATATGTGAACCCCCCCCTCTCCGGCCCAAGAGCCCTCCAGAAGACTTACGATCAAGAAGTGTTGACTTCATGAAAGCTGTAAGAGGGTTAGAAAAGTATCTCCAAAGCCTTGATGTTCATAGTGGTCCACGGTAAGACAGACTGTTCTACAAATAGGAGAAAGTTTAGCACTGTTGCTACTCTCCCTAGGCGTGGTCGTCCTGTAAAAATGACTGGAAGAGCACAGCCGCAGAATGCTGCAGTGAGGTAAAGAAGAATCCCAGAGTGTCAGCTAAGACCTACAAAATCCGGCCATGCTAACATTTTTGTTGACACATCCTACAATAAAGGAAAACATTAAACAAGAATGGAGTACATGGAGGACACCACGGAGGAAGCCCTTGCTGTCCCAAAAAAAAATTTTCAGCACCTTTGAAGTTTGCCCAAAAAAGGGACCTTATGTTCCACAGCATACTTTCCAAAAAAAATAACTATGGAAAAGATGAAACCAAAATTGAGTTGTTTTTGGGAAAACACACAACACTATGTGTGGAGAAAAAAAGGCACAGCCCACCAAAAATCAAAACCTCAACCCCCCCCTGTAAAACATGGGGGAGGGAGCATTTATGGGGTTTTGGGGCTGCTTTGCTGCCCCAGGGGGCCCGGGGTAATTTTTGTCATGGGTTGGAAAATGAAATTTCCCGAGTTTACAAGACATTTTTTCAGGAAAAAAATAAAGACCATCTGTCCGCCCAAATGAAATCCGCAGAGGTTTGGGGGATGCAACAGGGCAATGACCCAAAGCTACTAATTTTAAAAAAAACAATGGCTGCAAAAAAAGCACGAATACGCCTTCTTGGGGTGGCCCCGTCAGAGTTTCCCCGACCCCCAACCTCATTTGGAAATTTTGTGGCAAAGACCTTAAAAGAGCGATTCACACCAGACATCCCAAAGGGAAAAATTTGGGTAAACTAAAAGTTTTTTTGAAGAGGAGTGGGGGCCAAAATACTCCAGATCCCTTGTGCAGGGTTTATTTTGCAAAATAAGGAAAAAGTTTGGTTGAGGTTTTTTTTACCAAAGGGGGGTCAACCCTTATTAATTTCCCAAAAGGGTTTTACATACTTTTTTCCCCCCTTCATGGGGAATGGGTTTAAAATGTTTTGTGCAAATTTAAACCCTGGGGGAAACATCTAATGTTTGTGGGGGAAATATTTAAAGTTCAGGCAGACGTTTTTCTTCTATTTTTGTGGGTTTAGATGGGGGTTTTAGAGCACATTTTATGCCCAATTCATGGGAAAACTCCACGGAATCCCCCGGGGTTCACCCAATTTTTTTTTTTTGCAACCCGTATAAATTTACAATTAGGTGCCCGCCAGGGGCCCCAAAACTGTTATTATC